GTTTCTGCAGCATGTAACAGTTTCACACACACACACACACACACACACACACTCCCACTGGCCTTCAGGATCTCACAGGACAGGTGATACTATTTTAGCAGACCTGACTCAACAGTGAAGCAATGGACGGAGCATTTTTTTCAGTGACAGCTCTCTTTTCTCACAGTCGATGTGACAGGTTGGAATTCGAAAAACATGGGAAACTCCAGAGAGTGGAGAGACAAACTGCTGTGGCTTTACACCAGTAATTACAGTCAGTTAACACCCATATGATGACTGTTTGTGTTTTTATTTACAGAGATCGTCCAGGTTTGACTTGTTTACATAAAAGAACACATAGCCACCGGTTAAATAATGAGGCATTCACCCAGGTGCTCGTTCACACGCATATTTAGCCCATCCGATTGTTTTGGATGAGCTGAGTGAGTGTGAAAATGAATGAGCACATCCATTTGGGTGGTGGTTCTGGCCCAGTAACAGTAGCGCAGTGTTCGATCCAACCGTCCGTGTCAGTGAACTGCAAAGATGGAAAGAAAGTTGTTTTTCACACACTGGGCGGAAATAGATGGTGACAGTGACACATAAAAGGCAGTGCTGTGGTTTGGAGCTGACGTCATGGCAATCAGCGCTTGAGTCGACGAGGCCTTTCAATGAAGGAAAGCCACACAGAGCAGCCCACAAGCATTTCAGTAAGTAACAGTCTGGGATTGGGTACCACAAGTGGTACATGTGCATGCAGACTGGAACAATAGGCGTCCACAGGCACATGAATGCATGCTTAAGACCCTAAAGGCATAAAGGTCTCTGCACGCATATCCACACACTTCACATAAATAGTCCGACACATAGTGCAGTTCAAAATGGTTCACCTTCACGGCTCTGTCAGATTTGCAGCCACACGTCTTAGTGAATCCCCCGAAGTGAGCTGGGAGGCATGTAACTGTATACCGAAGTAATCACAGTTGTCTCTTTTTTAACCTCTCTCTCACTCACACTCATCTTCTTCCACAAACACACATATAGGCACACACAAGCTCCCCTCACTCGCACTTTCCCTGCGCCTCCACCCTTCCCAACACACCCAATATCACTTAAGAGCCAACCACCAGATCCCACTTTTCACCGCAGAGCTGTGGATTAGAAAAGAAGGCATTTCCCAAATGGTCTGTGGCTTGTCTGATGACATGATTGTCATTCAGTTTAATTCCCTCTGTACTCTTTAGATTCCCGCTCGCCTGATTCTACTGCTACAATAAAGCACACAGAGAAGGTAAATAACAGTTTAAAAAAACACAGGAGACTCCTGTGCAGACTTGCTCCCTGGAGACACATCTTAGTATTTATTGCCAAGATGAAAGACATTGAAAATAGTTCTTTGCAGCTGGTTTCTGGCGGCTGAAGAAGGCACGAATGCATTTTTGTTTATCTGAAAAATATCTGTGGGCTTATATCGCTACACATGTATAGGCTATCACACAGTTGCATAATTGAACCTCCTGGCTTTGGGTGCTGCCCAAATCGAACCCTCATGAAGTTGGAATGAATCGCAGCAAAACTCTTCCTCTGATATAAATTACTCCCATGTTGAACTGGAGGCATTATGCGGATCTAACGCTGCTTAATGCTTTCAAGGCTGCAGAAGCTGTTGCATATTAAGCTCCAAACATCTCTCCTCTCAGATCTTTAGCACATTCATCCTTTCAGTGATGTCTCTATAAAGCTGCGGGGCAAGTCTGGGAGTCTTCTCCTGGAGGCGAAAAAAGATCGATGCACCTGTGTGAAGGTAGTGGGACACGAGGGATGATAGAGGGTGGGAGGAGAAGAGGAAGAACATTGTGAGTGGATTGAGAGATCAGAGTGATTTTGTTCAGTCCTCCGTCTCCTCGTCCATCCATCATTCTTACTGACTTTGCGTACGTCTGCAGATGAAAGTTGGGAAGGCTCCAGGAGAAGGGTGGGGCTTCACAGCCGCTTTGTTGTTGGCTTTTTTGTATTCAGTGATCCTCTCCACCCGAGGGCTCGGCCATTGAGCATCTAACATATAGCAGACAGTGTGTGTGACATCTTTTATTTCTTCAAAAGGAGCTGGACTTCAAAAACCACAATGGGAGTATTAACCTTAATTGTTTAGGGAAAAACCAGACGATCAGATAAAACGTGAATTTGTTTACAGGTCCATACAGTTAATCCAAAACAGTAGGAAAAAACTCTGATATCTTCAATCTCACTAAATATTCCATTGTTATTCATTACAGACAATAAGAAGCACCAGGTTGCCTTTGTAGGAAACTACAGCCATGCCTCCGCACCACCACATCAGTATCTCCTGGGCGGTGGTTTCAAAGATCCGTCATGACGGCTTTAAGGATTCTGCCGGGTATCTTGCGGCTATCGCAAATGGCCGACAGCTTCTTCCTCATACTGGAAATTACAAAATGAGAGTGGAACATTCTGCTTTTGCTGAGGAGGATTTGTAATTTACTGTAATGGCTCACACATGTACATGCCATCAGCGGGCCTCTGGGCATGGAAATCTCTATCAGTGGTACACACAGGGATGCAGCAGTGGCACCACACACCTGCAGGCACCGGCAGCTGGAAATGTAGTCTGGACTGCATGCATAACACAATGAATGTGAATGTACACAAAGACATAGAGACATATGAACACAAACAATCAACAGAGAGATGTATTATCCAACCTCAAGCCTATACACACAGACACAGTTCACAACTTGCATGTAGTATTTATTTCCTCAACACTGCTGCTTGTTTGTTTCTTTAATCTCACTGTTTATATTTCTGCGTCCAAACCTGTCAGTAAAACTCCAGCTAGAGCAATTAGCACGAGGGGAAAGCAAATAAAATGTCTGATGAAAGCAAAGCCTGAATTCTGACCTCATTCTGACTGAATCTGCTGCTAGCCAGCAGACAGTCATTTCCAAAGCTGTGAATTCCTCAGTGCCAAGCTGGCCTCTCTTTGGATGGATTTACAATGGCTGTTTGTGCTTCAAAACATATCATTATTCTATATTTGCCTGAGTCATGTCAGTATCCGCAGACCTTTTGTTTGAGTAGTTTTACATCTCAGAAGACGCAAATTGCAATCACAGGCTTTGTAATGCTTAAGATTGAAAAGTTTATAGCTATATTGCTTAAAGGAAATGTTTGACATTTTAGAACTGAGACACTCTTGTTTGCTTTTCTTGTCTGGAGGATGATGAACATTTTGTCACAATTTTGTGGGGCGAAGTTTAGGTACTGTTCAGTGGATTTTGTTGGTTTTGCACAGAGTCAGAGACTGTTTCCTGTTTTGTGCTATGCTAAGCAGCTAAGTCTGTTGGCTAAAGTGTGTTCACACTGTTGAGTGCACTCATAACGTTCAAAAAGTTGAAGTTGGACGTTCTCACCCACAGTGGTCCCCATTTTAGCTATGTAGCGGAAGGGGCAACATACCGGTAAATTTTAAAATACATGATGTCGGCGTATAAGGTGTAATTTCTACCTGCGTGAAACGGGGGGGGGGACA